AGCCGCCCGCCCTGCGCGCTACTTGTCCTGACGCGCGCGAATCGGGTTCCTTCGCTGCGGTCCGGCAATACGCCAAGCACGGGCTTGCCAACCAGCTCGCATTCGATGCCGTGGCGCGGCAGGTAGTCGCCAAACAAGGTAGTGACGTCCACGCGGAACGTAGGCAAGGCTTCGGGAACCAATTGCAAGAGACGCAGCGTCGAAGCATTGTCCTGGGCTGCAGCTACCGGTGTACTCATCAAGTGAACCTCTTCATAACATAAATGCATTTATTGCAATAATACCATGATTAACTGATTTTCCTGCTTGCATCGCTATGAACAGGGCATAAAAAAAGCCGCCTGCCTTGAAGGCAAGCGGCTTACTGGACATGCCGGCAGGTAATCAGTTGGCGATGGTGATTTTCTGCGTGCCGACTGTCAATTGCCTGCCGGTTGCCGTTGCAGTGATACTTACGGGCAAGTTCTTGCAACCAACGTCGAGCAGGACGAGGAATTCGCCGCTGCTGGCACTGGTCGTGCGTACCAAGGCGCCGTGCTCTTCGTAGCTACCCGCCTTTGGTGGCGGCCCTGTTCGTTTCTCATAGCGCACCCCCGGATCGGCTATCGGCTTGATGCACACGGAGCGGCCCTGGTTGACGATGGAAATATTGCCGCTGCCATCTACCAAGATTGGTGCTGCCGCATGAAAATTCCATTCGAAGCTGCGCTGGACAGGCGCAGCCAGCTTGTCGCGCACGACGATGGCATCACTGTCGCGCAAGTACCACAATTGCCGTACCGCCAGGCTTAACGCACCGCCATAAGCGGGGGTCGCATTGCCTTCCACGTAGTCCACCGACGGTGTCGTGGAAAAGGCCGTAATGGCGCCGTTGCGCACCAGGGTTTCGCGGTAGCCATCCACCATTTGACCGACGCCGCCATCGAAAGTAATCGTGTTAGCCGACTTCGACTGGCGATACCATGTCGTGTGCATGGGCGAACCGAACCAGTCATACCAGCCCGTCTCGATCAGCAGGGGAACATTGGCGCTCGTCAGCACGAAGGAATTTTGATTGCCATGGCTATGCGAGAACGAACCATAGGGCGTAGATTTGAAATACACGGAAGTGCGTTTCAAATCAGCAAGATTGCTGTGCATCGCGCTCCAGCCGATGCTGGGAAAAAGGGCGCCATTGGCCGGCGGCCGCGGCGTTTCCGTCACGGTCGATACAGGCATAGGATACGGCGCCTGCAGCAAGGTCAGCATGTCCTCGTTCACAGTGATATTCTTGACGTACCAGGCTGCTTCCGGCGTGGCAAAGCGCGATACATAGGCCTTCAGCAAACGGTACACCGGCTCAATCTCCTGCGCATCGCCGAACATATGTGTCTTGGCGCCGGGCGGAACAAATTCCATGAAGAAACGAGCCAGCCCTGCGGACCACGGCTTGGCAAACAAATCGATGCCGCTGGCCTGCAGCAAGGGCTGCCATATCTGCAAGGCGTTATCCGCGCTGAACTCCGCGTAGGCCGTACCTTCCGAAAAACCGCCCTCCGGGCCGCTCCATACCATCAAGGAACCCGAGAAGTAGCGTACGGAAAAGTCGAACCACGTGGTCGCTTCCGGGATTTCGCCCAGCACCAGCGCGGAAATACCGGCAAGAAAACCGATATTGGTAGCCGTGAAGGCATCGTAAGGTTTCTGTTCGATACCACCATTGTTGCTCAGCAGCTCTTGGTAGATAACGGCCGTACGCGTCTTGACCATCGCCATCCAGACAGCACGCCGGGTCGCGTCGAGGTTGGAACCGAGGCTGTCAAGCGCCTTGCTCAACGCCAGGGCAATAGAGCGGCTGCCCTGCGCCTGATTGACATAGCTGGTCGGCCCATTGGGATTGAGCGCCGTCAGGGCATCCCCCCGCCGCAAGGCCTCAGTCAGAAAGCGTTGCTCGCCCGTCAGGCGGAACATCAGCGCGGCG